ATCAGTCGGACATCCCCCAGGGGCTCCCAGACTGCAAGAGGCCACAGGCCAGGCTGAGGGACCACCTCCCCCGCCAGTGCACAAATTTTTGTGCACCGGGCCTCTAGTCCTATATAATAAAAGAGAAACATGCAAATTAACTATCCCTCTGCTATGCTCAAGCCACGCCCAAAAGCCACACCCACCAGGAAATGAGGAGTATGCAAATTAACCCAACAAAGATGGCGGGTAATTTGCATACACATAGCAGAGTGGGAGAGCCAACAGCTTGGGGGGACGTGGCTGCCTTGGTTGCTCCCTTGGTCACTCCCTTGGGAAGACGTGGCTCCCTTGGTCACTGGAAGAAGAGCAGAGCAGGAGAACTGGAGGCTTGTGGGGATGTGACTCCCTCTATCGGGAAAACACAGAGCATGGGGAGCACCAGGAATTCTTGGAATTGTAGTTCTGATGGCATCCCCAGGACCGGAAGTAGAAGCCCAGAGCATGGGGAGCACCAGAAATGCTGGGAATCATAGTTCTGATGGCAGACGGATCTCCTAGACAGTAGAGCAAAATGAGCCTGGAGTAGTTACTGTTGCAGTTGGGAATGGAAGGAAAGCAAAGGTGAGAGACATTAGTAAAATCAGAGTGTCTAGGAAAAATTAAAGGGAAGATATCCTAAAACTTCCAGGAAATCTCCACCAATGGAGCAAAGAAAAAAAAAAGCCTCTGTTATTCTGTGAGCAACAAACCAAACTGGGTTGGGGGTCTCAGACAATTCGCTTTATGATTGCAAAGACAGAAACTCTTCATTCAAACCCAGGTGCCGCCCAGGCAAGGATCAAGGGGGCTCTGTAACACCCGGCAGGTTCGGTAGTCAGGACACCTCAATTCACAGCCACCAAAGTCCATTGCTTTTAGGGAAGCGGGAGCCGACTATTATTGTTGAGTATTCCTGACACTGTGTTATACACTTGTCATCTCATTTAATTTGCATAGCACTGCCCCCCCCTCCCTGCCCAGTGCACGAATCTTCATTCGCCAGGCCCCTAGTTAATAAATAATAATACAAGAATAAACTCTGCTTTGCGTATGCACAACTGTAAACACACTTTTGCCCCACCCTGTGAGTATATGACATTTTCTTTTCTGCAAGCAGGACTGTGCTATATGTACTGTTCTGCATTCTGATGTTTTCACTTAATGAAGTATCTCCTTCTAGCACTCATGGGTTTCAAAGTCTCCATGGTGTATGGCTATGCTGTAATTTATTCAACCAGTCTTACACTGATGGACTTTTAAATTCATTCCTGTTTGGCTCTACTACACAAAAACCCCGAGTGAATCATTCATTTTACTCACCTATATAAGCATATCTATAGCGAGACTCTTAGAAGTATAATTGCAGGTCAAAGGCCGCGTGTCTTTAAATATTGGGTGTGTGATTGCATATCGACTTCTGCAATTCTGTGAGTGTTGGGACCCTCGTGCCCAAATCCGCTAGGGCAGCAGAGACCAGCACATGCGGCTCTTGGTGACAAGATACAAGCACAGCTTGTGGTCTTGGACTCAGGAGACCACACCTGAATGGCCACCCCAGACAGACCTGGAAGGGGCTGGCACTCAAACATCTGTTGAATTAGTGAACAAACAAGCCATGCAGTGCTGAGATGGAGACAGTATGTGATTTAATTCAGTTACATTTCAAACATACAAACTCAGTATTCAAACAAGTAAACATTAACTTCCGTTTCATTGCATTCTTATGCTGATAGGAAAGACACACACACTTCCAGGGAAGTAACAAAAGGTTCCAGTTCTAACAGTCAACAGATATCTACATGGCCAATTCCAATTCCTGTTTCTCTATTTAAAAAAAATAATATTTGGCTTATAGTTATTTCAACCATATTATTATTGACATATAATTCCTACTTAATACATGTTTAATTGCCTTTTATTTCATGCATTTCATTGATTGTTAGAAAAGCACATTTTGTAGAATTTGACAGATTCTTCCCTTCACTGTCCTCATCTGTAAATTGAGGGGTTTGGTTTAGAGGTTCATCAAGGCTCCTGACTCTAACAGTCAGATAGATCCATCAGCATCAAGTTCAACATGAGAGGGGCTTTGTACTTTAGTTATTTCACTTCCAAATAAGAATATCTGGTTGCCCTACCCATATGTGAAGGGCAATATCAGTAATTAAACAAGCTTTTAGGAAAAGAGGACTGCTCTTTGATAAATAAACAGTTCTATTTCTCTGTATTCCCAAAAGCAAAGGCATTTTTATTAGCCTTTATATCTATTGAGAGAATTGGATTTATTTGCAGTAACTCATTACTAATTTTGAAAAGTCATAATTCCAATGGCAACCCTTAAATTTACTTTACTAATTAAGTAACATTTAAAGAACACTAGAAATCTCTTCTAATGAAAATTAACCAAATGAGATGTATTGAACCTTGACTTTGTGTAAGCTCATGCACTTATGTTTAATAAGGTATAGGTAATGGTTAATTGTATGAACTAAAGCAAAAGAAAATGCCAGTTTAAATTGCCAAGTTCCAGGTTACTCAGTGAAGTAAAATCCCCAATGAACGTTTAAACCTCCTGACCACCAGCTTTCTGAGGAGCCTCCATAATTCTGGCACCTCTAGTGAATATTTCCTTGAGACTCAGTTATTCATCAATCAAGATGAGATACAGTCTGTGTTTTATTTCATCTTAACAGAGCCTTGTCCAGTGAGATCAACACTAACTTCTGTTTAGTTACACTCTGCGACTTGACATTCCTGCATTACTGACACCTAGAAATCAGAGAGGGGAAGCTCTCTGGGCCTGTGGAAGTCGCTTCCCAGACTGGTGCAGGGTGGGCTGCTCAAAAGGAGGAGAAATGAGTCCAAGTGGGAAACAAAGGCACAGGAATAACAAGCATGTCTTAGCTTTCAGCCCCCAATGTGAGCTGTTCCCACTGCTGACAACACAAACTCCACAGACTGACCTTAAAGATGAATTGGCAGGTGAACTAATACCCTGCTTGGTGCACAGAAGGACCCATCTCCCAGCCCCAGTCCTCACTCCTCAGCTCTGACTTGTGAGGCCACTGGCGCCGCCCTGAAATCTCACCGTGCAGCCCTTTATATGTGGAGGGAAGGACTCACAGGGATCCCTTGCCCTCTCAAGGTCTTTGAACCAAATTAGTAGCAGAATCAGACAATACCTTTCCAGGGACATTGCAGCCTTCCCTGGTGGTGAGAGATGCTCTAAGCATCCTTTGCTGCCCCGCCTGGCCCCGGGCAGGCCAGCTTCGGATTGGCAGGTTCCATGAGTGCTATGACTTGGCCTAAAGCAAGAGAGATTTAGAATATGCCCTGGGTTATACATGTGTCCTGTTTGTCTGACACTTGTGAAAAGCCACGGTCTGCCCCTGGCGGGACTGGAATGGTGGGACAAGTCACTCTTGGGTGCAACATTACAGGGAGACTTAGAAAGGCATCGTGTTCTTTGGAGCCATTAATCCCTGAAGGGATCTGGTGATGACATATCACGGTTTGCTGAGTTCCCTCCCAGCTGGAGCAGGAGTTGACCTTTGATGAGTGGTTTTCAATAAAATGCATCCAAGTGAGATCAACTTCTCATTTTAGAGTGGCCCTTACCCTATTACAGAGGAGGACATGTCCTTCTTAGAAAAAACAGTTAGAATACTCACTCCTCTGATAACAAAAACAGCTCTGCTTTCATCAGATACTTCTCCTATTCTGCTAGTGGCATACCCATCACTTGGGTTAGCAGGTTATAAGTTTATAACTAATGTTACACATGACAGCTTATCTAATCTTAATGTTCAGATTTTATCTTGTGGAAGTGTTAATATTTAATATTGAATCTATAAAAGTAGTTTAATAAGCATGTTCACTTTAAACTATGTTCCTACTTTAATAGCAGAACCTAGTTCTACAGATGAGGTTTTCTTTTATCCTCACCCTAGGATATATTTTTCATCGAATTGAGAGTGAGAGCAAGAGGGAGTGTGAAGAGAGAGAGAAAGAGAGAGAGAGAGAGAGAGAGAGAGAGAGAGAGAGAGAAGAGAGAAACATCAATAGCTTGCTTCCCACAAGCGCCTCGATGAGGGATGGAACCGGAACCCCCATCCTGGGTAGGTGCCCTCCGTGACCAGGAATGGAACCTGCCACCTTTTGGTGCGTGGGATCATGCTCTCACCGGCCAGGGTGAGAATTTTTCTTTTTTATAAGGAAAGAGAGGAATTAATTCTGAAAACATATTGCAGGGTATGTCCCACAACAAAAGCAATAGAAGTGAAATTTCATATACAGAATACACATGTGTGCTGCTAAGAAAATAGAGTGAAACTGAATAACTAGCAGATGACAGATTACTACATGAGAGTTTCTTTTCTTTCCCCTCCCCTCCCTTCCCTTCCCCTTTTCTCTCTCCTCATCCCTCTGCTCTTCTTTCAGCTTTCCCTCCCCACTTCTCCTTCCCCTTCTCTCTCTTTCTCTCTCCCTCCCCTCCCTGTTTGTCACTGATATTCCAAAAGCCTTAAAGGTTATTTTGGTCACATGGGATTTCTCAGTTTTTGTTTAAACCATTAGCAAGATTACAAGAGATATTTGGATGTTTAAATTTTAGTCTTTCTTTTCTATTTAACCGCATTGGGAGAATAGGGGCATGAAGAGCTGAGGTCACATGGCTAGGAAGAGGAAGATTTGGGATTTGAACCTAAGCTGTGCAACTCTCCAGCTCTTATTCAAATGAGATGTTCAGTTTCAAGGAAGTGTGTGACTCTGCCACAGGCCCCACATGCTCCCACCATTCATTCCCCTACTGATAAAGAAGGGAGAAAAGGCAAGAAAAAAAAATACACTATGTGCTCAGGTCAGAGACCCTGCAAGACTCCTCCTCCTGGAAGATGGGACAGGGACAGGAAGAGCTGTGTGTGGTAGAGGCAGGATCCACATAGGGCCCTGCATCAGGTATACAGCTTGCTCTCCTCAGCCATTTTCAAGCATCACTGCCTCCTTCCACTCCTTCTCCATTGATGTGGAACCCTCACTGCCCTTTTCCTTGCCAATTCCCTCCCTCCCTCCACCAAGACAAGAACTGAAAATGCTTTCTCCTCCCTAGCCACAAACATTCGTCTTTCAAATCCACACAAGTTATTATTTTCATTTCTTTGCTTCTATTCGACTTTCCCCTTAGAGCAGCGGTTCTCAACCTGTGGGTCACGACCCCTTTGGGGGTCGAATGACCCTTTCACAAGGGTCCCCTAAGATCATCGGAAAACACATATATAATTACATATTGTTTTTGTGATTAATCACTATGCTTTAATTATGTTCAATTTGTAACAATGAAAATATATCCTGCATATCAGATAGTTATATTATGATTCATAACAGTAGCAAAGTTACAGTTATGAAGTAGCAATGAAAATAATTTTATGGTTGGGGGTCACCACAACATGAGGAACTGTATGAAAGGGTCACAGCATTAGGAAGGTTGAGAACCACTGCCTTAGAGCATATATCATTTTCGATTATAGGATCCATTGCTCATTGTCATTTTCTATTCTCTTCATCTTGCCTTCTTTGAAATTATTTTTCTGATATAAATGTCATTTGTTTACAAGACTTCCTCAACTGCATTCCAAATTGGGGATTCCTGTTGTGATTGAATGGTGACTATGACCTTTGTTGACAATATATATGTCACATATGTGACCGATGAAAGGTTAATGTCAATCAGCAAAATGTAAAAAAACTAAGAACAATGGGCAATAAAAATGGGCAAATGACCGAATAAGCAGCTCTTAGAAGAAATTCAGATAGTGAATAGATATTTGAAATTCTAACCAAATTGATTGTTAAGGAAACACAAAGTAAATAATAATAAAATACTTTTCAGGTATTTGAAGATAAAGAATGATAACACCCAATGTTAGTGAGTATTATGGAATCAGGAACCCTTATACCCTGCTGGTGGGAGCATAAATTAAAAAGTATGTACCATAATTTTTATTCATTTTGGGGAAATAAATCGCTTTAATTTTCTAATGAGTAAAAGACTGGCTTAAATACTTTACTGTCTAAAAGACTAAAAGAGCACCAATGTCTCTAGAGATGTTTTTAGACTTGAAAGTTTTCTCTCCAACACCATTTCCTCCCACCCTGTCCTATCTCACTCCTCTCCCTAAATAACCACTGTTAACCTTTTGTTGTGCATCTTTCCAGTGCTTTTCAATCATATGCATGCCAATGTGTGTGCTCACACACAGATGTATTCTTCTTATTGAGTGGATTCATACTATTATATAAATCTTCAACTTGCTTTTGTCACTTAATCTGTATGTTCATACGTTTGTTTTTTTCCACGTCAAGACTTATATAATGATGGCATTCCTTTAAATGGTTGTATAGTCTGTCTTAGAATGGCTATAGTCTCAGTGGGAGGGGGCATTTTGCCCCCTGGGGTGTATCTAGGAATGTCTAGAAACATATATATCTGTCACAGCTGGAGGGCTGTGTGTGCTACTGACATTTAATTGGTAGAGGCCAGGGATGCCACTAAACATCTTATAATGCAAACCACAGGCTCTGCTTGAAAAAATTTTGAAGCTCATTATTGAGCTCAAAAGTTAATAGTGCTGAAGTCAGAAAACCTGGGGCTACAACTTAAAATTCTCCTTATTCCTAGGTATTTAGATTTTGTTAGTTATCATTCCTGTACTTGACATACTTTGTGTACACTGTGCAAGTCTGTGGGAGATCCAGCTTTTATGGTTACGTTAGCTTATGTAATATTGGAGTCCTCTTTAGGAATATGATTATGAAATAAAAAATATGAAGCTGCTGTGGTTCACACAAGTGAGCAGACTGAAGCTTCAGTAGCTTCAGTCAATGGTTTCTGTGTCAGTTATTCTTGCAGGACAGGTGCCTAGAGGCAAAAGTGCTGAGTCAGTGAGCAGTTCCCTGTCACAGACTGTCTGTCTCCTGCAAAATTCACTTGTTGATTCTAATCTCCAAAGTTATGCTATTTGGAGGTGGGGCCTTTGGGATGATAAGCACATAAGAGTCATTCAGTCACGTGGATCATTCACTAATCTTTCCAATGGGATTAATGCTCTTATAAAAGAGCCCTCTCTTACCCCTTCTACCATGTGAGCATACATGCAAAGGAGAGGGTTGTCCATGAACCAGGAAGGGGGCCTTTACCAGACACCAGAACCTGACCATGCAGGCACCCTTATCGTGGACTCCAGCCTCTGGAATGGTGATAAACAAATTGCTCTTGTTTCTAAGCAACCCAGTCTATGGTATTTTTGTTAGAGCCCTCTAGCTGATGAATTTTAAGTTAAATCATTAATTAATTTTTAAATTTATTGTTGAAAGTATTACAGATGTCTTCCTTTCCCCTTCACCCCCATTAACTTTCTCCTCCCCACTCTTACCCGCTCCCAGGCCCTCACCCTAGTATTTTCTGTGTCCATGGGTTATGTATAAATGCATATAAGTTTTTTGGTTGATCTTTCCCGCCTTCCCTTCCTTCTAAGAATCCTTGATCTGTTGCAAGCTTCCATGTCTCTGGATCTATTTTCTTTGTCAAATTATTCTGTTGATTAGGTTCTTATAGGAGTGAGATCATGTGATACTTGTCTTTCTCTGACTGGCTTATTTCACTTAGCATAATACTCTCCAGGTTCCTCCATGCTGTCTCAACGGTTAAGAAATTCTTCTTTTTTTACAGATGCATAGTATTCAATTGTATAAATGTGCCACAGTTTTGTTTTTTTTTAACTGTTCCTCTATTGATGGACATTTGGGCTGTATCCAGATCCTTGCTATTGTAACTTGTGCTGCTATGAAGATTGGGGTGCGTATATGCATTCTGATTGGTGTTTCAGGCTTCTTAGGATATCTTCCTAGAAGTGGAATCACTAGGCCAAATGGCAGTTCTGTTTTTAATTTTTATTAAATAGAGAAATAAAATCATGAATTTAAATTCTGTGTCAGTTGTTCTGAGTTTAAACAGCAAATATTGATGAAACAAAAACAAATTAAATAGTAAAATTTAAATAAGTATAAA